GAGAGAACAAACAGATACATAAATTGAAGAAGAGTGTGTCCATGATTAGCGAGAGAGAGAGAGAGCAGAAAGTACCGTTGAAGCAGTCTCTAGACCAGCAGGAGAGAGTCGTTTGATCAACTGACACAAATACAGAGAGAAATGGTTTTGATACCATGTTAAAATTATGAATCCTCCAGAGAAATCTCTGTGTTTAGATTGATTGTCAAGAATATACAAAGTTCCGTATAAAATAGGCGGCTAATCAGTTATTGATAATGATTAACTAATCTTGTCTTATCAAGAAAGATATCTACATCAAATACAAGATAAATTAAAATTAAAAAAACTATCGTCAACTATCTCTATATATCTGGATATTGGAAGGCCAATGAGAGGCTTCCATATCGCAAAAGAAATGTGGGAATATTTGGAAAACATTTATCAACAGTCAAATCTTGCAAGACGCTTTCAAATCGAGTATGATATATTTTCTTATAGCCGAGGGGATAAAACTATTCAGGAATATTATGCTGGTTTCATGAACTTGTGGACATAATATGAATATGTCAACTTGAAGGCTCTCACTAATGCTTGTTCCATTAAGAGCTTAATGGAGATAAATGGTGACAGGAAGGTGATGCAATTTTTGATGAAGTTGCGACCAGACTATGAGATCGTTCTAGCCAATATTTTGAATCGTGAAACATTAGTCAATATGGATATCATTCTCGGTGAATTACTTAGTGAGGAGACAAGAATCACGATACAAGCTACCATTGAGGAAAAGAAAGATATAGAGTTTGTACTTGTAGCTCAACGGGCTAGAGGAACACCATCACAAAAAGACCCATCTTTGTTGCAATGTTTTGAGTGTAAAGAATATGGTCATATAGCATCCTATTGTAAGAAAAATATTTTTTGTACTTATTGTAAACATGTTGGGCATATTATCATAGAATATCACGATCGTTCTCGAAGAGGCAATCGGGCATTAGATACACGACAACCTTTATAGAAGGCATACCAACCTGCTAATGATGTTCCCAAGGGACTAAAGGTAGAGACCCCTTTATCCAGCACTATTCATGACCCAAATACGACAATGTCCCAGACATCAGATGATATTCAACAGTTGATACAAAACTCTATATCTACGACTATCTCTTCTGCTATGGGCTTGTCTGGTATGAACTCTCACTTATCACCTAGTGTAAATCTCCTTTGGTTTATTGACTCGGGTGCGTCTAATCATATAACTGAAGTACATATAAGTTCAGCATCTACTAAACCATACCAAGGTAATAGTCAGATTCTCACCGCTAATGGGGAATAACTTAATATTATTCTATCTCTTGTGGTACACTTTTTCATTACGTAATATCTTCTTCGTTCCTAAGTTAATTGCTAATCTAATCTTTGTGGGCCAACTAGACGATGATGGTTACAATGTTCAATTTTCTTGTGTTGGTTGTGTAATACAATACCAACGCACTGGGAGAGTGAAAGGGAAGGGGCATAGAATTGGTCGTTTGTTTGCCTTGTAGTTTGAGAAACTAAATCATGATGCTTCTTTCATTTCTCCATCGAATTCTGGTTTTTCTGTTTCCAATAAACAATGACATATGTGACATCAGAGACTTGGTCATCTGAATACAAATAAATTAGATACTTTGTTTGCACTTGATTTGAATTCTATCAATAAATCTTGTATTAGTTGTTCTTTGAATAAAAGCATAAGTTTGTCTTTCTAATTCGAGTAGATAAAGCAACTGCACATTTCCATCTTACTCATAGTGATGTGTGGGGTTCTGCTCTAACTTTATCCAAAATGAGATATAAGTATTTTGTTGTGTTCATTGATGATTGTACACGGTATACCTTGATATACTTTGTGCGCTATAAATCAAAAGTGTTTTCTCATTTTAAAACATTTTTATCGATGATTGCAACTCAGTTTAATACAAAAGTAAAAATAATACGGTCAGACTCTTGGGAGAAATACTTATCAAATGATTTTCAAGACTTTTTAAAAACACAGGGTATTCAATCACAGAAAATTTGTCCATACACTCCACAACATAATGATATTGCTAAAAAGAAAAACCGTCATATCTTAAAAGTAGTGATGACCCTTATGCATGACTCTTGTATTCCTCATAGTTTTTGGGTTGAGGCTGCATCAACTGTTTATCTCATAAATCACCTCCCATCCTTGGTTTTACATAAACAATCTCCATATTATTCATTATTTCATGCTCATCCTGATTATTCTCTCTTACATATTTTTTGGTATGTATGTTTTGTTCATCTTCCTCAGCATGAACAAACAAATTTTTTTGTTCAAGCAGTCACTTATGTTTTTGTGGGTTATTGTCATGACCAAAAGGGGTTTATATGTTATGATCCAAAATCTCGTCGTATACGTATCTCTCGCAATGTCATCTTTTTGGAAAACATCTTTTATTACTCTTTAATTGCAAAATCATCAAGGTTATATGCTCCTTTCTTTCCAAATTTTTCCACTGATAAACCATCACACATTTTCGCGCTTCAACAACAAGGCCAACAAAACCAATCCACGTCTACTCCATCTCACCAACCAGAATAAGGTCAAATCTTCGTCCTACCTATAAGTGATTCTTTTCCTAATCCTATTGATAGCTCTACCCAGTTACGACGTTCTTCACATATACCTCACCCACCTGATCGATATGGCTTCTCCCTTGTTGATTTTGATTTTTTATTACAACCTAGAACTTTGTTTGCTTCTGTTGATATTATTGATGTTCATTTTAAACACTTAGATATCTTTTTACTCTCTAGTTCATTATTTGCCCTTTTAGATTCAGTGGATATTTCTTCCTCCTACTAGCAAGTCGTGACTATGTCATGTTGGAAAGAGGCAATGGATGCATAAATCAGTGTCTTATTGAAAAATGACACATGTGATCTTATATCGTGTCCTCCTCACACATCTATTATTGGAAGTAAATGCATCTTTTCTGTGAAGCTTAAATCTGGTGGAAGGATCGAGCGATATAAAGCATGATTAATTTCTCAAGTTACAAACATGAGTATAGCATAGACTATGATGAAACATTTGCTCATGCTGCTAAAATGACTACTGTACGAACCGTAATTGCCCTCTCAACTATTCGTCAGTGGACTATATCTCAGATGGATGTGAAAAATACATTTCTCCATGAACATTTGAAAGAGACAGTATATATGTGACTTCCTCCTGGTTATTGCAATGATAAATCTATAGTATATCATTTGAAAAAAATCCTTGTATAGTTTAAAACAAGCTCCAAGGGCTTGGTTTGAACGATTTCGACAGGTCGTTCTGAATGCTGAGTTGAAACAAAGTACTCATGACTATTCGCTATTTACGCATCATTGTTCTTCAGGAATAACAATTCTTCTCCTATATGTTGATGATATTCTCATCACAGGAGATAACCTTGATAATATCAGACACTTGAAAGAGATTCTCAGTCGCTTATTCAAAATAAAAGATTTGGGTCCGTTGACTTATTTTCTTGGCTGGAAATTCGTAATTCCCCTAATGGATACATAGTTAACCAGAAGAAGTACACTAAAGACTTGATCAAACTGGCCAACTTATTTGATGATAAACGAGTGGATACATTAATGGAGGTGAATGTAAAATATAGAAGGAATGATGTAGACAAACTTCGGGGTCCTACTATTTATAGAGAACTGGTTGGGAGTCGACTTTATCTCATTATGACTCGTCCAGATATTTCTCATGCAGTTCAGGTCGTTAGCCAATTTTTTGTTGATTCTCATCGTATCCACCTCTTTGCTGTCAATCGTATCATTCGGTATCTACGTGGTACATACCATTAAGATCTATTATTCTCTTCTAACTCTTTTTTCTAATTACGAGCCTATGTTGATGCGGATTGGGCAGGATGCCCGATACTAGACGCTCAACCACTAGGTGGTTTTTTTTTGGAGATTCTCTCATATAATAGAAATGTAAGAAACAACAAACTGTATCTAAATTTGCTACAGAAGCCGAATACCGAGCGATGTCTTCAGCTTGAAGTAAAATTATGTGGTTGATAAGCCTTTTACATGACTTCAATATTCTTTATCGCACTCCTACACTATTGTATGCTGATAATATAAGCGTCATACATATTGTATCAAATCTAGTGTTTCATGATCGCACAAAAGATATGGAAGTTGATTGCATTTCATTCGTGAAAAATTTTTGGCCAGAGAAGTTACACTCCTACATATTACCTCCCAACAACAACTTGCAGATATCTTTACCAAGGCAAGGATTCGTGATCGTCATGACTATCTCGTTCACAAACTGATGATGTTCACCCAACTTCAGTTTGAGGGGGAGTATAGAGATAGAGATAGTTGAGGATAATTCTTTCAATTTTAATTTATCTTATATTTGATGTATATATCTCTCTTGATGAGATTAGATTAGTTAATCATTATCAATAACTAATTAGCCGTATATTTATACAAAACTGTGTATATTCTTGATAATCAATTTAAACACAGAGATTTCTCTAGAGGATTCAAAATTTTAACACTTATTCAATTTTGTTTTCTTTTTCTATTCTTTTCATTTTCTATATTTCTTTATAATTTTGCAAATCCAAAATAAAATTGAAAAGAAAGAGAAAAAAAGAGAAATTTCCCTACCATTATGATTAGTTTTGATTGCAATAGATACAAACTTTTTTGTATTTTCACATTATCTAATTTTATAATATTTATTTATAATTAAATATATTATTTATTTATATAATTAAAAATAGTTTTAATTGATTTTACGATACAAAATTATTTATATAATTAACCATTAATTTAAGATACAAGCCCCTCGTTAACCAATCAAGCCAAAGATTACATCTCCCATCTCTTGATTTGTTTGCCTCGTTTATTGTTTTTTCAAATGCACGTGCCAGCCGCTGATGTCGTGTGGGTCACCAGTTGGAGAACCAGACTACCAGTATATAAGACAGCCGTGACTGCACCTCGCGCCCACTGAATTGTGCATTCTCGTCTCTCTCTCTGTCGATCTCTCGACTGTGTTTGTGTTGCAGGATAGTAAATATGTCAGGCATAGGTCCATTAACGCAGGACTGGGAGCCCGTGGTCATCCGCAAAAAAGCTCCAAACTCCGCTGCTAAGAAAGATGAGAAAGCCGTCAACGCTGCTCGTCGATCCGGCGCAGAGGTCGAAACCATCAAGAAATGTACTCTCTCTCTCTCTTTCTCTCTCTCTCTCTCTCTCTCTCTCTCTCTCTCTCTCTCTCTCTCTCTCTCTCTCTCTCTCTCTCTCTCTACTCTCTACTCTACTACTTCTACTACTACTACTTCTACTACTACTACTACTC